AGTTTTGGTGTGTGTGTGTAGCACACATACTGGTGTGAAGACTAAGTGTGAAAAGGAATCTGATTAATGTGTTCATATTAGTTACATGTTGAAATGATGTTTTGCACATATTGGGTTAAATAAGGTAGATTATGAAAATTATCACCTGCTTCTTCTGATTTTTTAATGTGACCATTGGGAAATTTAAATTTCTATCGGACTCCCATTACGTTTTAGTTGTGTCCCGGGGCCTGCGGGCGGTCTCCCCTCCACCCTCCACCCTCCGACGCCCGTTCTAGACAGCAAATGTGCAACTTTGCCAGCAACTTGCATCTGTCACGAAACAAATTACTCCGGAAGCTTAGAAGTAGATTCCTAAGCAGTAATTTTGAGGGCACCAGCGTGCTTCTCCTCGTTAGTATAGTGGTGAGTATCCCCGCCTGTCACGCGGGAGACCGGGGTTCGATTCCCCGACGGGGAGGCTATGAAGTTTTTTTCCACTCTCCCTCCAAGACTTTTGTCTACGTCTTCCCTTTGCTGAAACAAAAATTATTTTTGCAGAATGCTAGGTTTTCTGCAGAGTTCGTCTCGCCTGAGAATTTCTTGGATGACGGGCAACAGTTCTGGTGAGTGCGGTTTGACTCTGGTTCTGCGTGAAGTGCGTTGGATCCACTAACACTGCAATCAAGTTTCCTCCTGATCTGCAGGCAGGCTACCTTCTCCGGTCCTCTTCCCTTCCCGCTGCCCCCCGACCTGCCTTCTCCCGCCCACCAGAGGAGAACCCAGGGTCCCAGCTCTGCCTTCAGCCCCAAACTCTAAATTCCCACCGTTCCTTTTTGTTCATCTTGCGCACCGATGTGCGGCGGTGGCAGCCGAGTCCCCTCCGTGACCACCCCGAAGGCGCGCCAACTGGTGAACCGGTCTCCCTACAACGCCTTTCTGTCTATTCCAGGCGGTACCGAGACGTGAGCGCGGGTCTGGCCGAGACCTGCTTTTATCACCAACGAACAGGCTGCTGGTCTGCAATGTGACGGGGCCACCTCTAAGGTTTAGAGACCTTTGGCGGCCTTGAGTTCTCTGCAGTAATCCCTGCACTGGCTCCTGGCACATAGTATATGCTCATTTTTAAAAGATGCCATTGCTCCTGGATATAATAGTAATGTATAGCCCTTGTAGACAATATGGAGAATAAACAGAAAGAAAAGCCAGCCATCTTTTTATTATCCAGGAAATCCTTATTAATATTTTGAGTATGTTTACTCCTGACATTTTGAAATGAGAAATTGGAATCATACTGTGTATATTTTTTAAACCTACTTGAGTGTTTACTTTAAAATGTGAATATTTCTATATTCTTTAAATATTAGTCTAAAACATTATTTAAATGACTTCCTTGTGTTGTACCCTATGGCTACATAATAATTTCTTTAACAATTCTCCTCCTTTTGAACAGTTATGCAGTTCCAGTATTTTCCTGTCTCCTCTGGGGTGGCAGCTCTCGGCCTTCTGGCTGTTACTTCCCCCTGGCCCCCTGGAGTCTCTGCTCAGTCGGCACCCCGTTCCAGGGTCAGCCACAGACGTGAGAGCAGATGTATGTGCAGGCTCGGCTTTCCCGGGCCAGGCGCTCATCTCACTGGGCGGCGCAGGAAGCGCTAGACCGCAGGGCGGCGCAGGAGGGAGAAGGAGGCTCTGCATGGAGGCCTCGAGGGGCCTGGGACTCGGCGACAGACAGACGGTGCTCCCGTGCCCAGTGCGGCGAAGACTCGGTGTGGCAAGTGCCTAGATACGCCCGGGGAAGGTGATGGGACTCACGAACCCTGTGGCCTTGAAATGGCCCAGGGACAGAGGGGCAGAAGCTTCTCTCCTCTGGGGGAGAGGGGGAGGGCACTGATCTGGAGCCCGGTTGATGATGTTGGAAAAGCGGCCTTTGCCCTCCGAGATTTGGGTTCCATGTAACCTTGTGAAAGTCATTCAACCACCGGTCCTAACACGCCTGCAGAAACCTTTCAGAACCGCTGGGTGGAAGATGTTAGGCTCCCTTACTTAGGTTTTGTATTTTGCAGGACACAGTTGGTTGCCGGGGTTCATGTCCCAGCATCAAGAAGGGTTCAGGAATCTGAAAAAGGCTGTGCGCAGATGACATAGAAATCCAGAGACTAATAAAGAGTCCGGAGGCGAGATATAATTTTGAAAGGCATTGGGGGTCAGAGGACCTTCAGCTAAAGGAACTGAAGAGTCCCTCCTTGTCTAGGACCCTTGCTTTTATTAACACAATTTGTCCTAAGACAAGGTGGAGATAATACACTTCAAAGGGTAAGGTTTCAAAGGGTACAGAAGCATTGTCAGTTTGGGGAATAGCCTAAGGCTGTTCAGGTGTTTGGCCAGTAGGAGGCAATAACATGTAGATTAAGATGCCTTTTAGCTGTCTGGCAGCCACAATCAGTTTCCTATTCAGGTTTGGGGAAATGCCTTCAGCCATTCCCAACAGGTGACTACATGTGTGACTCAACCCTGTTGAGTCCCCAAGTCTCATCAACCTTTTGATGAAACTCTTGAAATTATGACATGCTGGAATTGGTCTACGGCAGTTGGTATTTAAAATTTTCACAATAAGATTATTATGAGTTAGTACTAGCACATGTACACAGGAACTAATAAATTGTCTAGATCAGCAAAAAAGTTATGGACGTACTTCTCTGAGCAGAACCAGTGAACTCCGGAGCACAGGGAGCACGCACCTTGGCTCCCCAAAGACCCCGGTCCCTCCATCCTCGACGCCCTCTTCCTGAACCTCCAGATCCCAGAGGGGAGCGCGGGCGGGACCGTCCTCGAGCTCCCAGGCCGCCTCGACCGCGAGTGTTCGGAGATGTGGCGCCAGGACTTTGCTGTCGGTTAACTGACTTGCCAGGAAGGCTCACTTGCGCCTGTCTCTGTGGCGCAATCGGTTAGCGCGTTCGGCTGTTAACCGAAAGGTTGGTGGTTCGAGCCCACCCAGGGACGCGGGTGTCCGTTTTGAGCCTGTGCGTCCTGACGCCTGCTGCCCTCTTTTGGACGAGGCTCTCCAGCACCCGCGCCGGGACGAGGCCGGCACTTGGACTGCGCCTGTAAACCCTTCGCTGCGGGACGAGCTTCTGCGCGAGCTGCCCGGGTTGGCTCCTCAGTCCGTGCCTCCGGGCAACTGCTGGTGGCCCGCAGGTGCTGGCCGGACTGGCCGGACTGGCTTCCTAGCTCTTGGGGAACCTGGGCCGGCAGTAATCACCCGGGGGTCTGCGCGTGCACAGACTTATTTGGAAAGGTCAAGGGATAATTAGGGGCGCCGCCTTCAATACACCCCTAAGTCTCCCCTGTGAATCCACAGCCATTTGCAGCCAGGGCTCAGGATCTAAAGGAGGGGCCACGCACCAATGAAAACACTAGACAAGAAATATGAATTTAGAAGGCATGGGGGCCAGGCGGAAACTTCCCTCTAGTGGAGAAGCTCCCTGAAAACTGGGTCCCCTCAGCTTTTTATTCACTTGAATACATATTTGCCCTTTAGGAATGCCTACAGGCAGATCAAAGGTAAAGTTTGGTTAACAGTAAAAGGGTTATCAGGTTAGGGAATTGCCTTGAGCCCTGCTGACTATTAATATGCTAATTACTGCTGGTCTTAGCCTCCAGCACTCCCCTAAGGGAATTCTGATAAACAGGCAGGAGGCCTTCCACACTCCCCTTTCTCAGGGTTCCTCCTCCCAACTTTCCAACCGAGTCTTTTGTGCTCCCCAACACTCTAGTCGGTCCTGAACTGCCTGCTCTTTCTCAGCCCCCCTTCACCTGTCCTGCTGCCTCTCCCAGACCCCAGCAATCCCCCTGTTGTCGGAAGAAGTTTCGGAGCGCCCGGCGCCACCTGTCCTGCAGCAGGATGTGGACCACTGCCTGCCAGCACTCGCCATCCATGCTCTTATCCACTGGCCCAGTCACTTAAAAACAGGTTCATGCGTCAAGGGTCGCTGCCCAAGAGACCGTGTTGCTGCTCTGCTGCGCCGGGTGCTGTGCAGCTCTGCGACTGCACTGTCTGGCAATGCCACGGCCAGGGCTCCACATCGGCCCTTGAAGGTCATGGCCCAGATGGCTGCGTAAAGGACATGAAACGCTGGATCATGATGTGCACACCTGAAACTAGTATGGCATTCTGTGTCAACTGGAATTAAAAACAAAATTTAAAAAAACAGATTGAGAAATAAAAATGACAATAATATAAAAAACACCTCGGGCCCTTCCTTTCCATTGCAGAGCAAGAGAAAATAGAGTTGGGGGTGTTATGCCCAGATTTTAAGATCCCCAATAGACCACCAGGGAGCCAGCCGAGTCCGATGCAAAAGCAAAGAGTCTTTATTCGAGCTAGCTCGGCTCCCAGACCACACTCACCGACGCAGCGGCAAGCGGCAGAGAGCGAGCTAGCCCTGTGCGAAGAGGGGTTTTATAGGGGGGTTGGAGTAAGGGGAGGAGAAAGGACTGTGGGCTCTGCCGATTGGCCAGGTGCAAGTCGATGTATTGTCATTGGTTAGTTTAAAGAAGTCCTGGGTGTGGCTAGCAGAAGCTTGGGCTTCTGGGAAGAAGCTCCTTGCCGAGCACATGGCTGCTCAAAAATGGAGGATCCGGGGTAAGATGGAGGGCGTAGCCCTCGCCCTGGGGCAAGATGGAGGGCGTAGCCATCGCCCTTTCAGGGGCAAGCCCCTCAGCCCAGGCTGACCTGCCAGGGTGGGTGTGGGGACGATGGAGCTGTGAACACAGAGGGGCTCAGAGGCTCTGCTTCTTTTTTTTTTTTAATTTAAATTCTTTATTGTTGAAAGTATTTCATATGTCTCTTTCCCCCCCCCCCACTGACCTCTTTCCATCCGCTCCTGCCCCCCAGCACATGCCCTCACCCCTACTGACCATGTCCACTGGTTATGCTGATATGCATGCACACAAGTCCTTTGGTCTCTGTTATGGTTTGGCTCAACGAGATACACCACCGACTCAGAATTTAAATTTAAGAGCCTTTATTAAGCTGGCCAGCTGACCACTGCACCTATCTCCCCCTCTGGGAGCTTTGGAGCACGTGGCAGAGATTAAGGGTGCAGTATGATCCTTTATAGCAAAACAGTGTTAAAAAAATACAAAGCATTTCATTAGCTGTTCCTTAGAAGTTCACAGAAAGTTCATAAGCACAAAGGGGAGGTAAACGGAGTCACACCTGGCTGGAGCATATCATAACATATTGTTTTTCTAAGACAATCTAGCAATTTTTCTCTGCCATGGTTCCTGACCCTAATACAATCAGTAACCTTTTCCAGGCCGCAGTCCCTCCCCCTCCCACATTCTGTAACCCTTCCATGCCGCAGTCCCTCACCCTAGCACAGTCTCCCCTCCCCTGCTTTGGTTTCCCCTCCCCCCTCCCCTCCCCCCTTCCCTCTGAGGCTTGAAGGTCAGAGGGTCTGCGTTTATTGCTCCTGCTTGTCCTGGAGGCTCTTGCTCCAAGTGACGTTGTCATTTGTCCTGTTCCTCAATAAGCTTCGAAGGCCTCTCCGCACAGAGAAGTACAGTCCCGTGTCCACGGCAAATAGGAGTCCCGGCAGCAGGCAGAGCAGGACGAGGTGCCCTGGGTAGACGGGTGAGATGGCCAGCGCTGCGCGAGAGGCAGAGGGCGGAGAAATGGCTGTTGTTAAGGCAGAAATTTGGAATCACCTGCCTTTGCTCCTCCCACTGGCATCTGCCTGGCTGGGCTGAGCGAGGCCGCCACTGGGAGGGCCAAGCACATTAGGAGGCTGGGTTTGGTGTGGATTTGTGAAAGTTGTCAAAGTTTAAGTTGGTGTGAGAACATTATTTCTTAGTTTCAGTGTCTCAAAATTACACTCATTGCTCTCCCCACATTGCTCCTTGTCGCTCAAGGAAATCTAACAAACAGCGAGCCATTGACATTTGCTCCTTATCGGCAGGAACTAATCGGCCAAAGGGAGTGAGGTGGAGCCCGGGGTCTCACCCCTGAGCCCCTGATGACAAGCTTTAGACTTATTTCTTGCCGCTGTCTATAGACTGGAAACATTTTACTGGATTTAAAATATAGAAATTATATATATATATTATAGTATATAAAATCTCAGAGAGAAAGGGAGAGGGCGAGAGAGATAGAAACATCAGTGATGAGAGAGAATCATTGATCAGCTGCCTCCTGCATGATCAGGGATCGAGCCCACACTCGGGCGTGTGCCCCGACCAGGAATCAACCATGACCTCCTGGTTCATAGGTTGATGCTCAACCACTGGGCCACTGTGACCAAGCTATACTTGATTTTTTATTTCAACTTTTAACTCTTAATTTTGATTTAATTTCAAACTGACAAAACGTTACCAGAATCATACAAAGAACTCTCTCATAGTCTTTTCCTACATTTACTAAGTGCTAGCATTCTGACCCAGTTGCTTCATTATTTGTCTTTTCTTTCCCTCACCAGTTGAGAGCGTTTTTTACTTTAAATTTAAACGCAATGAGATTATTTTTATACAAATGATGGCTTTGCTGTGTTAAAGTCTCATTAGGTGTGCATCTATCTCTGCTTTGCTATGTGGTCTCGGTCTGGTTCCAGGTGGACGTTCTGTGGCACCAGGAAGTCCAGGAGCTGTGTGCACGCGCACACGTGTGTGTGTGTGTGTGTGTGTGTGTGTGTGTGTGTGCGCGCGCGCGCGCGCGCGCGCGCTCGCGGGGGGAGGGGTTCTGGCGGAGGGGGAGCTCTGCTCCGTCCTGGGCCCACGCCGACCTGAAACACGGTGCGTGAACAACGCTCACACAGATCGAGCGGCTGCATCCACTGGCTTCGCCCTTTGCTGTGACCTGAGGACAGGTGACCCCCCACCCCCACCCCAGCTCCTCCTGCCGCAGTCAGCGCTGCCCAGCTCACCCGCTGTTGGGGTCCGTGGCCAGCAGGGGGCGCTGCTGCCGACGCCCTCAGCACAGCGTCCCGCCCAAGGACGGTGCCCCACACTCGTCAGTTGTCTTGGTTACAGAAATTGGGGTTCAGAGAGACTCAGTGGCTTAGCAGCGCCCAGGTCTGGCCGTGCGCCTGCAGCCCTCACCTTCCACCAGGACGACCACCGCCTCGGAGGACACGTTCAGCTTCCCGATGAGGCCCCGGCAGAAGTAGGAGCCGTTGTGCTTGCGGGACGCCCTGGGGACGTGGAAGGCGGAGTTGTTGTAGGAGAACTGCCTGCCTCTGCCGTCCTGGAAGTACTGGACGTTGTGCACCCTCTTGTTCTTCCAGCTGTGGCACCGCAGCACCAGGGGGTCCCCCTCCCGCAGCTTCCACCGCGGGGCCTGCAGCAGCAGCCAGGCTGGAAGACAGACCGCCGGCCCCAGGACAGGCGTCAGCGCCAAGCGCGGGTGGGGGGACACGCGCCCCAGATCCCGCAGGTGGGAGGCAGCCGGCAGCCCTTCCCATCAGCTCGGGGCCACGCCGAGGCCTCTGTCTAACCGGCGAGGGTCGGACTGAGCACAGAGGGTTGGGCCAGGGGAAGCGAGAGGCAGGCGGGAAGCCACCTGCCGGGCGGGGCTGCCTGGTCTTGGAAGGCAGGTGACAGGGGCCGGCACAGCCCAGATCGCCCCGTCAACAGCCCCTGGACAGGGCGCTTTGCTGCTTTAGGGGAAAGGCCGTCTTCAGAGGGAAGGAGGCTGCAGGAGTATCGAGACTCGGGCAGCAACAGGGCAAGGCCACTGGTGGGTCCAGGAGTGGCTGCAGGTGCCCTGAAGGACTAAAGGGCAGGAGGAGAGGGAGGCAGGGCTGGGGGTGCGGTGGGATCTGGGAGTTTCTGAGGGGCCACCGGGCCTGTGAGCCCAGCCTTCAGGAGAGAAACTCCTAGTCACCAGGACACTGTTCTTGGCGGCCTCGCCCCGTAACCAGATTCCACGCTGATAGAACGTGGACTCAGGGCCAGAGGTGAGCTGGACCATTAAAGATGAATTGCAGACAATCTCTAAAATGACACGAGAGCCTGGCCGGTGTGGCTCCGTGGTTGAGCGTCCACGTATGAACCAGGAGGTCACTGTGCAATTCCCAGTCAGGGCACATGTCCAGGTTGCCGGCTTGATTCCCAGTGTGTGTGGGGTGGGGGGGGGGAGGGGGAGGGGGAGGGGAGGGTGTAGGAGGCAGCCAAGCAATGATTCTCTCTCATCATTAATGTGTCTGTCTCTCTCCCTCTCCCTTCCTCTCTCTGAAATCAAAACAAATATATTTAAAATGACATGAGAAACATCCATGAGACAATGTTAGGCTAAAAAGAGAATGCAAGAAGGACGCACCCACAGAACACAGAAAGGAAGACCACACTTCGTCTTCAAATATTGACGCGGTTTCTCCCTTTTACTTTCACACATTTATGAAAACCCAAATGGCTTTTGTGAGAAGAACAAAACAATAAAACTAATTATAATTTAAAGAATATGTGACCTGATGCTAAACAAAATTGGTAGAACATAAAAATCCTCTACCTGGAATATTTGCCCAATAGAAGGTAACCTTCATTATTTATCAATAAAGACCACCTAGCAGAAGAGGCCACATCCTGTACACCCACTTACCGCGTGAGCAGAGATGAAGCGTTAGTAGCATAACGTGCTGGTTGTAAGATTATGTGCATGTGCATGTGGTCTGGTGACTTTTGGGAGACACACTTGTTCCTGTTTGTCCTGTCCTGGACTCATGTGTTCACTTGACAAATATTTTATCAAGTCTGTACCTGTGATGTGCAAACTGGGGACACCCAGATGACCAGGACCCGTGATCCTGACCCCAAAGAACCTGCAGTTTAGACTCAGAAATATCCCAGTCGAGAGTGGTGAGTGCTGCACAGTCGGGGCTGCAGGGACTGCGAGCCGGAGCCGAGGGGCCGCCAGAGGGAAGTGATGAAGAGGAAAGGCCCTCAGAGGAGAGGAGGGAGATGGGTCCCCAAGGGAGACCGGGACCCACCTGGAGAAGTTAGCAGTCATGGTCGCAGCTTAACACAGTCCTCACTGACTGGCCTTCTGAAGCCAGTCTCTAGAACCAAGTTCAAGACAAACTGACAACTCTTAGACTTGACTTTTCTATTGCTTCCTGTTGGCAAATCCCCATTTTATTTGGTCTTAGGTGGCACTTTGCTCCCAGCCTGCTAATAACTCCGGGAGCTCTGTGTGTGAGTGTCAGCTCCGGGACGGGCAGCGGCAGAGGAGCCACCCAGAGCTGCCCAGCTCTGAGGCAGGTCCGCTCACATGGGCTCTCCCTATGGGCTCGCTCTGCCCGTGTCCACTGCACACATGGGCAGCCTTGCTGAAGTCAGGCTTGCAAGGGGACTCGGTAGGTACAGGCCTGTGGTGCAATTCCAGGGACACAGGAGAGTCCCCGCCTCAGTGCTCCCCTACCTGCCTCTGATGCCTGAGTCCCACCGACCACACACTTTCACTCCACAGTCGCTGTGCAGGACGCACCAGGATATGTGTGTCGGGGCGGCTTGTATGCTGGGAGCCCGAGTGTGGTGCTGTGGAGAGAGAGATGACCCTTGGCCATTAGGGGTGGTGTGGGGCAGCTTAGGGCTTTGTGGGCCTGAGAGTGAGGAGATGGAGGTCCTGAGAACAGATCCTTTACTTCATGCAATGAATACTACTGTGTGTCCTCTGCGGGTGCTGCTCCCGGCCCTGGGCGGCAGTCCTGTGTCTCTGCTTGCCAGGTGTGACACCCGGCCCACCTGGGGTAGGACCCAGCGCTGACACACCTCACAGGGGTCACGGATCATCGCATCTTAGTTCTAACCCCTCGAATATCACCTGGCTCTGCGCCAGCCTCTCCCGCCTCTTGTGTCACCCTTTATTGGCGACTCCCCTCGTCCCCATCCCCACTCACCGGCACGGACTTGGAGCTGCACCGGGTCGCTGAGATTGGAGAGGCTGGTCTGGCACGTGTACTCCCCGCTGTCGTTCACGCTGGCTGATTCGATGAAGTAGCTGGAGGTCCGGTTTGGCAGGAGGTGACCATTGTGCCACCACCGTGTGGAACTGTTCCCCTCGGCCTGGGCCCCCTGGCACCTCAGAGTCACATTGTCCATCTCGAGCAGCCTGTCCCATTCCGGATGCAGGGACACCACAGCCTTCTGGACACCTTCTGAGGAGACAGGAGAATGTGGGCGAGGCAGGGGTGGGGGTGGAGGTGGGGGGCTCCCCGCCCTGCATTCCCGACCCGCCCTGCCAAACCACAGTTGGCAGCTCCGCCTTGGTCTGGGACTCGGCCTTAGAGCATCTGGGCTTGGAGGCACTTGGCCCCACTTTTGGCCTCTTTATGTTGAGGAAAACTGGTTAGAGGAGCGTAGGGCCAAGCCCCACCGTGTTGGGACAATTGTCCCTGCTGGCCCTCCACCTGCGTGGCCACAGCCCGTGGCTACTGCGTCCTTGAGGGCCTCACGGGATCAGTCTGACACCTGGAAGCAGACTCACCAGCTCCGGTGCTGACTGACGCTGCAGAGAAAAGAGTGAAACAAAAATTGAGCACAGCAGGGAGTAGCGGCTGCAGGGGCTGAACTCCCGCCCCTGCCTGCCTTGCCCCTGAGCCCGCGGCACCTGAACCAGGATACAGACAGTGGCCAGCTGTCCCGCTGCCTACACTCTGGTCTCCGATGTCTGTGACTCCTGCACCGCCCCCATGGTCCACCCAAATCCCTGTTTTCAAAAGCACCCCGTTACTCCTCGGTCCCGTTCAAACTCCCTAATTAATGATCCGGATTGGATTTCCCTGAACAAAAGCCTAGAAACAACCTCAACCCAAGTCCCCTGGAAAGAATAGAGATTAAAAGTCTTAGAGAGGAACCCTAGGATGTCACTGTGGAAGAGACAGACCTTAGGGACCGTCTGTCTGGTCCCTACTCTTCAACTTGCAGGTAGGGAAACGGAGGAGGAGGCATCACAGCCCCTTCACCTCCTGATGGGCCCGAATCAGCCGGCGTCCTCCCTGTCTCTAGCCTGCGAACGGTTTGTCCTACAAGCCAAGTCTAGGGCTGCCTGTTGATGCGAGGAGGGTCCCGTCCGGGGCTGGTCCCAGGGCGTCCTGAGTGTCTCCCTCAGCAGCAACTGACTTACCCAGAAGCAGCAGGACGGCGGGCAGCAGCAGCTGCCACATGCTGGCCGTGAGAGCGAGTGCCCGCTCGGCGCTGACAGTGACCTCGCTGGCTTGAGAGAGGAAGTCAGCAGCCTCCCCCTGCACCCCACTACTCAGTGGGTTCCTTTTTCTGGGAGCATCATTGACTCCTGATCGCAATTTGGACAAGAGAGCCCAGGGTGGGGGCTGAGGGCAGAGCCTGGGGGAGAAGCTGGTGGGTGTGTCCCTTTGGGTCAGTGCTGAGACCAGGTGACAGTCCGTGGGGCACCCTCAGCAATCTCAGCGCATTAGCCCCACCCAGCGGGGCCGGGGCCACCCAGCGCCAAGAAGGGGGTAGCTGGACCGGGGACAAGACTGGGAAGAGGGAGGGTGCTCCCCAAGGGTCTCTATCTCCATCTCAGCCCGTCTCCCTCCTGTCCGCTGCCTACGCACAGAGAGCAGGCATTTCAATCTTCAGACCCGACAAGTGTCCCTCACCCCATATTAACTCCATCGACATTTTCTTTCAAATTAAAAATGCCCATGCCCTGGGTGGTGACCCACAGGGGCTCCTAACTTTCGGTGTGAATTTGACCACAGGTTCCCATGGTCTGTGAAAAGAACCCCTGACCGTGGGGGAACCAGGCGTGGAGTTACTTTAACAGCCCAGGCGAGAGCAGGGCTGTCGGTCAGGGACGTGGCCTGCGCTGGAGGCGTGGAAGCAGGTGCGGTGGGCAGGACGTGGGTGAGCAATGGGCCGGGGGGGTGGCAGAGGGGTCTGGGCGAGGCTCAGCTTGGATGCGGGTGATCAGGAGGATGGCGTCCGCACATGGACTTGGAGGCGGGGAGGAGGAGCAGGCTGGGTGGGGAGAGTGACGGGTGCAGGTGGTGGTGGTGATGTCAGGCAGGCAGGGCACACGCGGCCCTGGAGCTCAGAGGACAGGTCTGGACAAAGGGCAGACAAGTGGATGTTTTAAACTTTTGATAAAAGCTTTAGGTCCTCTCCTAAGAACAAAGGAAAATGTACCCCCTTTTCCCTGTAAGTCAAGGGGCTCCCTGTGAGGCCCGCCAAGGCTCTAGGTCAGGGTAACCACGGATGAGAATCTGACTAGAGAGCGTCGGAAAAGGGGAACCAGGAGAGGACGGAGGACGGGACAGAAACTTGGCCCTCGAGGCGGCCCCAGCGAGAGTTGCTGACACAGCAGATCCGGAGGAGGGGCTACGAGAAAAAGAAAGGGGGAGCCCAGAGGCCCCCTCTTCAGGGAGGGAAGTCAGTGAGAAGGGCTGCAGCACAGCCCAGCGCGGCCCTGGGAGGCTCGGAGGGTATTCGCTGAGCAATTCCAGGGGCCGGGGTGGGGGACAGAAGCCTGAGAAGTGTTGGTTGAAGCCCGAGTGGAAACAAGAGTGTCCTAGTGAACGACTAGTCCTTTAAGCATCTCGGTGACCGGGAGCCCCCCTTTCTTACCAGCATCTCGTTCTCCCTGGGGGAGCCCTGACCTTGAGTAGCCTAATAGGAAGTGGTTATTGCTTCCACTACAGAAACCCAAGGGGCCACACGCCCCTATTCCCACCTCGAGCCAGTGTGATGGGCTAAACTGTGTTTTCCCCAGATTTACACGTTGAAACCTTAACCCTCAGTAGCTCAGCATGTGACTGTATTTGGAGATGGGGCATTTCAGGGGGTTATTACGCTAAAATGAGGACATTAAGGTGGACCCTCATCCGATAAGACTGGTGTCCACAGGAAGACATCAGGACAGACATGCCCAGGGCCGACATGTGAGGACACGGAGAAGACAACAGCCTCTAGCAGGAGGGAGGCCTCAGGGGAAACCAGCCCTGACAACAGCTGGACCTCACGCTTCCAGCCCCCAGAACTGTGAGGAAGTAAAGGTCCGTTGTCTCAACTACGTCACCTGTGGTGCTTTGTTATGGCAGCCAAAGAGCAGCCACATGACCCACGCGTGGCCGTGTGTCTCCGCTGGGACGGCGGGTCTCAGTGGTCACTGCAGTGGGTCGGCTGGCCTGCCTCCAGTTCCCGCCCAGTCAATCCCTTTTCTTCCTAATATGTCAGATTCTGAAACCGCTGCTACAATCAGAGCCTGAGGGACACGCGGGGACCCTCCTAGACTAGAGGGAGATTTTATGTAGTTTTACGTGAGAGGCTTGGACTTGCCCACAGGTCACTGTGACCACTGCACTGCCAGCTGGACAGTCATGGGGGCCACCCAGCTTCCAGGGTTGGAGACATAGGTCTCATCTCTCTCTTTAAAAAAATTTTTTTTTTTCTGATTTCAGAGAGGAAGGGAGAGAGAGGTAGAAACATCAATGATGAGAGAGTCATTGATTGGCTGCCTCCTGCACGCCCACACTAGGGATGGAGCCTGCAAGACCTGGAATTGAACTGTGACCTCCTGGTTCATAGGTCAACACTAAACCACCGAGCCACGAGCCACATCAGCCAGGCAAGAAATTTAGGTCTTTTCACAGATCATGGGAATCTGTGATCAAATTCACACCGAAAGTTTTAAGTAAATATTCTACTTGTTCATTTTAATAGCAAAATATAGTAACCTCTAAACTACAAATGCAAAAGAGACCAAAATCATTTAATGAAAACGTTTACTGTTGTGTCTGCAGTAAAAAGAGGAGAAGAGCTAGGAAGGGTCCTGCCGAGTAAAAAAGGGGGAGAGGGAGGCTGAGAGGGAGCCCTGGAGACTGACCGGGGCTAGAAGACCCAGAAGAACCAAGGGAACCGAGGGAGACAAGGGTCCCGGGAGAGAGGGCCTACAGCAAGGCCCGCCCAGGGGTGTGGGAGCCCAGGCAGACGGATGTCAGGGAAGTGACGGTGGGGACGATGAGAGTGAACCCCCAAACCAGGAAGAGATGGATGGAGGCAAAAGGGGCGGAACCAGAGGAAATGGAAGTAGCTTGTGCGTGACCTTAAGCCCCAGCCTGTTTATTTTTCTGTGGTCATCACACTAACACGCCTGTTGCCATAGGAGAGATTTCCAGAAATGTGGTGCTGCCTGCGAGCTGGCTCCAAGCCCCGCCCCCTCAGCCCGGCTCCAAGCCCC